TAAACATTGCTGGTTGTTGTTTTTTTTTTTAAATATGGAAGGAAGTTGCCTCCTTAGGTCTTTTTTTAAACTATATTTTATTGATTTTTTTTTACAGAGAGAAAGGGAGAGGGATAGAGAGTTAGAAACATCAATCAGCTGCCTCCTGCACACCCCCTACTGGGGATGTGCCCGCAACCAAGGTACATGCCGTTGACCGGAATCAAACCTGGGACCCTTCAATCCCCCGGCTGATGCTCTAGTGGGCCAAACCGGCAGTGGTTCTCTACCTTCTGGCCCAGGAGTGGGCAAACTTTTTGACTCGAGGGCCACAATGGGTTCTTAAACTGGACCGGAGGGCCGGAACAAAAGCATGGATGGAGTGTTTGTGTGAACTAATATAAATTCAAAGTAAACATCATTTCATAAAAGGGTACGGTCTTTTTTTTTTTTTTTTTTTTTAGTTTTATTCATTTCAAATGGGCTGGATCCGGCCTGCGGGCCGTAGTTTGCCCACGGCTGATGTAGAGGCTAATTTTAGTTCAAGGTGTTGTTACAATACAAGCCTAAGGAGGCAGGCGAACAGGGCTACTTGGTGGCTATAGCCAAGTAGTCCCTTAGCCTCTCTTTCACAGAAACATGTGTCAGAGCAATCATTCATCCGCCACTCAGGGTCTGCTGGTCAGCCCTGGCAATCACTGAGGCTGGGACCCACACAACAGTGGGGCCGTGTCTCTGGGCTGTGGCTTTCCTCCAGCCCTCTCAGGGGAGACAGGAAAGCTCAGCTGTGCTGGATTTAGAGAAATGCCTCTCTCCAGGTGGGAAGAGGCTCTGGTATAGTCTTCCCCATGGAAAAGGTGCAGGGTTTATTTCACAATGATTATTCTTCACGCTCTTTACCAGGACCACAGGAGGCCCTTTGCTGTGCAAACCTGGTGGGGCTCCTGGAGGTAAAACCCAGGAAGGTGTGGGACCTGGAAGACCGAGCCCCACAGGAATTCCTCACTCTCATTTAAAAAAAAATATATTTTTATTGATTTTTTACAGAGAGGAAGGGAGAGGGATAGAGAGTTAGAAACATGGATGAGAGAGAAAGACCGATCAGCTGCCTCCTGCACACTCCCCACTGGGGATGTGCCCGCAACCCAGGTACATGCCCTCGACCGGAATCGAACCTGGGACCCTTGAGTCCGCAGGCCGACGCTCTATCCACGGAGCCAAACCGGTCAGGGCTCTCACTCTCATTTTTGCCCTTTTTCTTTCTTTTGCACATGTTTGTTGCAGGCTGGGCCTTGCACAGGTATACCAGTACTTCGGGATCTTGCGTAGTTAACGTCGGAAATATGTTCAAAATGCTAAGTTTAACGTGTCCAGCAGGGGGTGCTGTTGCTCACTGATTTCTTGCCTTTGGTGTGTTTGGCCTCGAAGACCAGTTATGAGAGGGACACTCTCAGCTTGTAGGATTTTTGTTTAGTCTCATCAGAGTCCCCCCTGTCAAAATCCCTCTATGGACAAGGCAGTTAACGGTCCATGGGTGAAGACGAGGAGTGTGAGGAGAACAATTGGGCAGGGGTTCTGACTGACGGCGAGGGATCCTGCGGCTGGAGGGAGAGGATAGTGCGTGGTAGGAACCTGCATGAACACACAGCCAATAGGAGTGCAAGGAGGAGTTGTGAACCTGAAGTCAAGGTACCAGAGGAGGGTTTTGGCAGGGTCAGGGTTGAGGCAGAGGGGGTCACGGGGTGTGGGCACGGTGGGTAGGGGAGAGGCTGCATAAAACCAATTCGAGTCCTTACCGTGAATGTTCACCTATGCCACCGTTTTTCTCCCTGCATTTGTATCCAAAAGAGCAAGAATTTTCAAGGCATCTCAGAGCTATGGGATTTTATGAAAATAACACTCTAACTGCACCGGACAGAACCGGAACCTTTGATTTTCCTAATTTCCAACACACTCAATGAAAAAATATTCCTTTGGAGCAACCAATGAACTTGTATGTATGTATGCATAACACGTGGACAAAGAACATGGGGTGCTGAGGGCCTGTGTGTGTGTGGGGGAATGGCGGCTGGAAGAGGTTAATGGGGGAAAAAGGAGGACCTATGTAATACTTTCAACAATAAAGATTAAAAAAGAAAAAGAAACTATATTCCTTTGTATATCTAACAGAAAATATACTCCGAAAAAAAAAAAAAAGAGTTTTAGGCTAGAATACCTAATTGGGACTATGGAAAAATTTGCACTTAAAAAATATATCTTTGCCCTAACCGCTTTGGCTCAGTGGATAGAGCGTCAGCCTGTGGACTCAAGGGTCCCAGGTTCGATTCCGGTCAAGGGCATGTACCTTGGTTTTGGGCACATCCCCGGGGGTGGGTGGGGGGGGGTTGTAGGAGGCAGTTGATCAATGTTTCTCTCTCATCGATGTTTCTAACTATCCCTCTCTGTAAAAAATCAATAAAATATATATATATATATATAAATATATATATATCTTTAAGAAATAAAGCACCCTAGCCGGTTTGGCTCAGTGGATAGAGCATCAGCCGGTGAACTGAAGGGTCCCAGGTTCGATCCAGTCAAGGGCATATGTCTGGGTTGCGGGCTCAATCCCCAGCAGGGGGCGTGCAGGAGGCAGCCGATCAATGATTCTCTCTCATCATTGATGTTTCTAGCTCTCTCTCCCTTCCTCTCTGAAATCAATGAAATATATTAAAAAAAGAAATAAAGCAATTCAACTGATTAAAACAAAACAAAACAAAAAAAACCCAAAGCCCAGTGCCAGCTTGAAAGGTTCTGAACTGCACTGGCTCGGGGCACAGAGCTACTTCAATGTCCCCCAAATCAGCGGTTCTCAACCTTCCTAATGCCGCGGACCTTTAATCCAGCTCCTCATGTTGTGGTGACCCCCAATTTCATTGTTACAAATTGAACATAATTACAGCCTAGTGATTCATCACAAAAACAATATGTAATTATATATGTGTTTTCCGATGGTCTTAGGCGACCCCTGTGAAAGGGTGGTTCGACCCCCAAAGGGGTCGCGACCCACAGGTTGAGAACCGCTGCCCCAAATCCTTTGGCTGCGGCTGTTGAGCCTGTAGCTCTGCTGCCCCCTGCTGGCTCTGTTCTCAGGTTCAGTCTCACCGCTTACTGGGCTCTGAGGTTGTCAGATCTGGGCCCCTCCTTCCTGAGAGACGTGATGGGGAAACTTCCTTCCCTGTCAATCAGGGTCCTTATGTCCACACGTTGCGGCTTCCGGAGGCAACTTCCTTCCCGCTCACTGATGTCACCTGCTCCATCTCCTCACAGATGAATCAGAGCTCGCGGTGAGAGAATGCAGCAATCCCCCGGCAGGGTCTTGACCCAGCTGCCTAGAGATGCTTCTACCCTCGGTGCTAGGGACCAGGCAAGATCCTGCAGGAAGATGCATGCGACCGCAAGCCCCGAGCCTTCCCCTACGCTGACATCTAGTCTGACTTCGATCCTCAGGCCAGTGAGGCCCCCAACTCCAGTTTCCCACTCTCGGAATTGCCCGGGGCATGTGTGTGACCTTGGTTCTTGCCCTGCCTTTTCTGGGTTCCCACCCACTCCTAGATTTTGGACTGAAAATTCTTCTCTCTCATTAGCCCTCCCATGGTTTTAAGATTTACAATAATTTTTCCTCCTTGCATTTTTCAGTGGAGTGACATGTTTGATGCCCTGGACATGGTCCTCATCTCTTTCTTATTTATGTATGTATGTATTTATTTATTTATTTATCAGCTATTTATTTAAATGTTCTATTTCATTCTTTTTAAAAAATATTTTATTGATTTTTTACAGGGAGGAAGGGAGAGGGATAGAGAGTTAGAAACATCGATGAGAGAGAAACATCGATCAGCTGCCTCCTGCACATCTCCCACTGGGGATATGCCCGCAACCCAGGTACATGCCCCTGACTGGAATCGAACCTGGGACCTTTCAGTCCGCAGGCCGACGCTCTATCCACTGAGCCAAACCGGTTTCGGCGGGCGAGTTGTTTTTTTAAAAAATATTTTTATTTATTTTAGAGAGGAAGGGAGAGGGAGAGAGATAGAAACATCAATGATGAGAATCACTGACTGGCTGCCTCCTGCATGCCTCCCATTGGGGATGGAGCCAGCAACTGGACCATGTGCCCTGACCAGGAATCGAACCATGATCTCCTGGGTCATAGGTGGGTGCTTAACCCCTGAGCCACACCTGTCAGGCAAGGATGAGTTTCTGACTCATCTTTTCCATCCTGAGAACTTACCCTTTGCAGTATCTACAGCCACTAAAGCAGGGCGGGGCACACAGCTGATGTCCATGAAACATCGGTTGAATGAACCAATACTCCGTTCCAGGCACTGCCCCCTGTGCTTCTGACCCGTACGAACTCCTCTAATCCTCATGCAACAATTCCAGTTTACAGACCAGCAAACGGAGGCCCAGAGAGGCCAAGGAACATTGGTAAAACGGAACAGGTGATGGGTAAGGTGGTGAGAATGCCGAAGGCCCAGGGTCACTGGTGGGGCCCACAGTTCTTGTCCACCTGAGGTGTTTGCCCTGAGAATGAACCTTCCTTAGAAGAGGAGACCTTGGCCACCTGGACCCTCAGCCTGGGTGCCCCAGGCTGCTCCCATGTTGTGAAAAAGATTTGGTCTTTGGACGACGGCCCGAGGCCCCAGAGGCTCTGGGCCCCAGGGAGCTGGTGGCCGGGCAGCAGTCTCTTTCCTGTGTAGACATGGCGCCAGAGGCAAGCGCTGCCACCACCAGGACCTTAAGATCCTGCACAAGCTTGTCCCCAGCTCCCTAGCTCAGAGTTCTCATGTGGAACTGTGGGGGAGGGGACACAGTACATTTCATCCCTCCTGGCATCCCCCTCACCACTGCCCCCCACCCCCACCCCCCATTCCCCCAGCCTGTGGAGGCCAAGTTCCCCTTCCAGCCTGGCCACAGTCTCTCCCCCAGGGCTTCCTATTGGGGCATCCTAGGCCCCACCTCAGAGCTGGGCACTTCCTTCCCTGACACAGGGACCTGGACCCACTTTGCCCTGCCAGAGGCAGACATGGTGCCCCTGCTGCTGCTGCCCCTGCTGTGGGGGGGTGAGTGGCTGAGGGAGGGGGGCAGGGCAGGTGGGGGAGGGGCTAAGGCTACATCTCAGCTTCTGTGTCCCCCTCCCCCAGGGTCCCTGCAGCAGCCACTAGGCTATGAGCTCCGAGTGCAGGAATCGGTGACGGTGCAGGAGGGTCTGTGTGTCCATGTGTCCTGCTCCTTCTACCCGTGGAGTTCGTGGTATTCCTCTACCACAGTCTATACCTACTGGTACCGAGAGAGGGACAACATAAACCGTGATGCTCCCATGGCCTCGAGCAACCGAGATAAACCAGTGAAGACAGAGACCAAAGGCCGCTTCCTCCTCGCGGACCCCACGACCAGCAACTGTTCCCTGCAAATCAGAGACGCCAGGAGGAGTGACTCAGGACGCTACTTCTTCCGAGTGGAGACAGAACATTCTAGATTTCATCCCCAAGGTTATACTTACCGATATAAGATGCTGGATTTGCAGGTGACAGGTAAGGCAGGGGCCCAGGAGAGGATCAGGGACATGGGGCCCCGTTTTAGAGCAGGAACAAGACACTGGACACACCCTGTCCAGGCCGTGGGCCCTGGGTGGTGGGAAGAGACACAGGGCCTGGGTGAGCTCAGCCCGAGGCAGGGCCTCTCTCAGGGTCCCAATCTGAGTCCCCACCCCTGGAGCCCAGGCACCTGCCTTTCTCCCCTGCAGCCCTGACAGAGAGACCCCACATCCGTGTACGGGAGCTTCTGGAGTCCGGCCGCCCCACACAGCTGGCCTGCAGCCTGCCAGGGGCCTGCGAAGGGGGACGACCTCTCACCTTCTCCTGGGCGGGAGCCGCTGTGGACTCACTGAACCCCCAGACACTCCGCTCCTCGGTGCTCACCTTCACCCTGAGGCCCCGGGACCATGGCACCAGCCTCACCTGTCAGGCCCAAGTCCAAGGATCTTTGGTGGCCACACAGACAACCATCCAGCTCAATGTCTCCTGTGAGTGTTGGAGGGGGGGCTGGGTCCATGGGGGCAGTGGAGTGGCCTGTGTGTGTGTGTGTGTGACTGTGTGAGTGTGTGTGTGTATGTGTGTGTGTGTGTGTGTGTGTGTGTGTGAGTGTGTGTGTGCGTGTGTGTGTGTGAGTGTGTGTGTGAGTGTGTGTGTGAGTGTGTGTGTGTGTGTGTGTGTGCGTGTGCAGGAGGCTGAGCTAACCTGAGAACACCAGGGCATGGATCTGCGTGTAGGTGGGGAGGGGCCAGAAAGAGAGAACCCCTCCCTCCTGGTTCCCACCGCCCCTCCTTGGGATTGGGGTGACTTCCATCTGAAGTGGGGCCCTATCTTTCTATCCCAGATGCCCCAGGGAACCTCATCATAGGCATCTCCTTCAGAAACGACACAGGTAGGAAAGAACCCCTCCTCTCTGGGCTGGGACCTGCCCCTGGGCGCTGGTGGGGCAGAGGGGGGAGCAGGAGTTTGAATGGGAAGAGACATGGGAAGGGCAAGGATGAAAGTCATCACCCCAGTCCCTCATCTCTGGAGGGTGGGTCCCTGCCCGCGTCCCCAGGCAGCCTGCGCACACACACATCTCCCTCTCTCTCTCTCTCTCTCTCTCTCTGTCTCTCTCTCATCACCCATTCTCCCCAAAGCCTTTAAGAATCTGCAAACCACATCCCTAACCATCCTGGAGGGAGAGGCCCTGAGGCTGCGCTGTGTGGCTGACAGCAACCCCCCTGCGGAGCTGAGCTGGTTCCGGGGGTCCCCAGGCCTGAACGCCACCCCCCTCTCCAGCATCGCGATCCTGGAGCTGCCTCGCGTGGGGCCTGCACAGGAAGGAGAGTTCACCTGCCAAGCTCGGCACCCGCTGGGCTCCCACAGGTTCTCTCTCAGCCTCTCCGTGGTCTGTGAGTGGGGAGACCCCGGGGGGCAGGACAGCGGGGTTCTGGGGAGATTAGAGGCACCGCTGACCCTTCCCCTCGCTCCTCACTGACCCCCGCAGCTGCTGGGACCCTCCTGCTCCTGGGAGGACCAGGGTCTGCACTGCAGCTGCTCCTCCAGGGCCCAGCCGGCCCCCTCCCTGCGCTGGCGGCTGGGGGCGGGGCTGCTGGAGGGGAACCATGGCAACGCGTCCCACGTGGTCAGCTCCCCCTCAGCGGGGCCCTGGACCAACAGCTCCCTGAGCCTCAGACTCAGCTGCGAGGCCGGGAATGTGCAGGGGGGGGGGGGGGGGGGGCAGAGCGCCTCTGTCCTGCTGCTGCCAGGTCAGGGCCTGCTGGGCGCAGAAGCCACGGAGAAAGGAGTGGGTCAAAGAGAAGGTGGGGCTGGGGTGGGGGCTGCGTGGGGACAGGGGGGATTGCTAGGACAGGGCCTGCATCTCCTGCCAGATCAGAACCGAGAGCGGGTTCTAGGAGGAGGTGGGAAGAGGGGAGACTGAGTCCTGGGAGTGGGTGGTGTCACCTGAGCTGGTGCTGGAGGAACTGGCCCTGAGCCCCTCCAGCCCTCAGCACCAGGGCTCCTGGAGCTGCCCCAGGTGGGGCTGGAGGCGGAGGGGAATTCACCTGCCGGGCTCAGCACCCGCTGGGCTCCCAGGACGTCTCCTTAAGCCTCTCTGTGCAGAGTGCGGTGCAGGACAGGTGTGGGGCGTGGCCGCCTGGTCAGGTGTTGGGCTGTGGGTGGACTGGCACCTGGACAACACGTCACCCGTCTCCCGCATCCCCAGGCAGCCCGCACTCCAGCAGATGTGTGACCGAGGAGCAGCAGGGCTCCTGGCCCCTGGTCCTCACCCTGATCAGAGGGGCCCTCATGGGGGCTGGCTTCCTCCTCACCTACATCCTCACCTGGCTCTACTACACCAGGTGAGCAGGCCTGTCTCTCCCGGGGAAGGTCAGGGACTGGCCCTGAGGTGCAGGTGGGGCCGAGCTGTCCGGCTCTGCCTGGAGATAGAGCCAAAGCGGCCGAGTCTCTGAGCTGACACCTGTGTGGGCCCCGCAGGTGTGGAGGCCCCCGGAGCAGGAGGCAGAGCTCCTGATGGATCCTCCCTTCCTCTCAGGATGGGACTGAGGTGCAGACACCAGGCTACAGGGACCGTCCTGGGACGTCAACGTCACCTTCTCCCTGGAAGCTCTTGACTCACCTGCCTCCAATGTGCCCCTGGGGTCTCAGGGTGTGAACATGACTGAGTGACGCCAAGGGGAGTCAGTGCCATGGAGAGAAGACTTTTCCTCCTCTCACCTCCGGAGAGGAGGGGCCGCTGTGCCCGGGAAGCCCGGATTTCCTCAGGAAGCAGATGCAGGTGCAGGGCCGCCTAGCGAAGGCCTTGATTGGGTTCCATGGGAAACGCAGGCAGGGCAGGGTGAGCCGTTCAGGACCAGCTGGTGTGTGTCAGTCTGGGGGATGGGCCTGTGGCGTGGTCTCTGTGTGTCTGGTCCCAGGTCCTGGGTGATTTGGGGCAGGTGGGGAGGCTGGGAATATGGGCTCAGGATGGGTCGGTTGCATCTGAAATTCTTTGCTGTCTCTGTGAATGGGCCGCCCTGGGAGGCCCTTTGTCTCCTTGGCTTCCCATCTGCTTAATGGCTCAAAACATCATAAGATACAGAAATAAACAATAATACACACCCACTGACGGCCCCTTGTTTCTGCCTCGGCTTCTCCCATTTGACTTGTTTCCCTCTTCCCCCCTCTTTCTTTCTCTCTGTTGGTTCTGCCCAGCCATCCCCCCCACCCCCTGCTCCCCTCTCTCCATTCTCAGGCCCAGAGAGGGACTGAAGTTGGCACCTTATCCTCCCCTTGCCCAGGAGTTACCTGGTCACCACCTGAGCTTCTGCTCTCCCATCTGTAGGTGCTGATACGCAGTAGAGTTAGGAGCCGCTCTCCTCTCCCTGTGCATAGACGCCAACCTCAGAATTATTGTCATAACACATCCCAGCATTTAATCATAAATGAAAACATTTCTGTGATATCACATGACCACTGATTTTACTCGTTAGTGTCTGTGGGAGTTTCTTGAGTCGAATTACACCTGGATCTCCTCTTGTTGTTGTTGCTGTTGTTGAACCTTTGGAAGCACGGGATTTTGTTTATTCCTTGTAATTATTCTTAATTGGTATTTATATCTCTTCTTATTTTTTGAAATATTTTTATTGATTTTTGAGAGGAAAGGAGAGGGAGGGAGAGAGAGAGAGAGAGAGAGAGAGAGAGAGAGAGAGAGAGAGAAATCAATGATGAGAGAGAATCATTGACAGGATGCCTCCTCCACGTCCCCTACTGAGGTTGAAGCCCATAACCCAGGCAGGTAGCCTGACTGTGAATCGAACTGTGAACTCCTGGTTCATAGGTCGACACTCAACTTCTGAGCCACATGGGCCAGGCTATATCTATTCATGAATAATAAAAAATGCAATATTTAAGACACTTCCTCTAACCATTTTGTATTATTATGTTCAATTATCTTACATCTATCATTTTGATAAACTTTATAGAACATTCATAATTACTTGGATGTAAACAATTATTTTTTTCCAGATTTATTGAGGTATTTAAAAAATATATATTTTATTGATTTTTTTACAGAGAGGAAGGGAGGGGGATAGTTAGAAACATTGATGGGAGAGAAACATTGATCAGCTGCCTCCTGCACACCCCCCACTGAGGATGTGCCCGCAACCAAAGTACATGCCTTTGACCGGAATCGAACCTGGGACTCTTCAGTCCACAGGCCAACGCTCTAGCCACTGAGGCAAACTGATCAGGGCGATAATTTTTTAAACAGAATGCATGCAAGAGTAACACTTCCATACTCTCATAATTATCCTTGTTATGATTATAATACAAATGATGTATAACCATAACAACTTTCAGGGATAGAATACAATCCTGTTAATTATAGTCATCATGCTGTCCAGTACATCCCCAGGAATTGTTCATCTTGTAGCTGAAAGTTACCCTTGACCAACATCTCCCCATTTCCCCACCCCCAGCCCCTGCATCACTGTTCTCCTCTCTTTCTGTGAATTCAGCGTCTTTAGGCCCCACTGTGAGAACACACTGCAGGAAAACAATGACTATTTTGAAAAATACCCCTCACAGTTTTGTTTCTTCCATGCAGTTCTAGGTTTCCATCAGAGAATCACTTTCCTCTATACAGAAATTAACTCAAAATATATTAAAGACCTAAATTTAATACAGACAACTATAAAACTCTTATAGGGAAACATAGGGGGAAAGCCCGTGATGTTGGATACTGCAACGCATTCCTGCGTATTTCCATCAAAGTCACAGATAAGGAAAGCAAACGTAGACAGGTGGGATGTACCAACTTCAAAACCTGAGCACAAAAGGACACTCTCACCAGACTCCAGAGGCCTCCTACAGGATGGGGGAGAAACTGTATGTGTGCAGGAGTTAATATCCAAAATATATTACACACTCACACACGACAACATAAGAAAGTCAAATAACACAATTGAAGAAATGGCTAAAACCTTGAATAGATATTTCTCCAAAGATGATGTACAAATGGCCAACTACGTCATAAAGAGAGATGCAACATCAGTAAAATGACAGAACTACAAATGAAAGCCCTGGCTGGGTAGCTCAGTTGGTGGGTGACTTCCTGATACAACCAGTTTGCCGGTTCCATCCTGGTTGGGGCACATACAACAATCAACCAAGGAATGCATAAGTCAAAACTATAATGAGAGATCACCTCACACCCTTTAGGATGGCCACTGTGAATTGAAACCACAGAAAATAATAAGCACTGGTGAGCATGTTCCAAAATGGAAACCGTTAGGCACATTTGGTGGGATTGTAAGAGGGTGTATTGGCTGTGGAAACAGTATGGCAGTTCCCCCAAAAATTAAAAATAGAACTACCATGACATGTAACATCCCCTCTTGAGGTTATACACTGAGTGGCCAGATTATTATGACCGGCCAGATTATTATGACCACCCTATCAGTACTTCATTGAGACTTCCAAAAATACTGAATATTGAAAACTTCCTAAGCAAATACTCTCAAGGTTTTATTATTATTATTATTTGCATAACTAATTCACTTCATTGTACTGATGGAGTGGTCATAATAATCTGGGTACTCAGTGTATATCCAAAAGAACTGAAAGCAGGACCTCAAAAAGATACCTGCACTCCCATATCTATAGCAGCATTATTCACATTAGTCAAAAGGTGTCAGACAGCAATCTAAATATCCACTGATGGATAATAGCATTAAAAAAGGTCATGGCCAGCTGGCCTGGCTCAGTGGTTGAGTGTCAACCTATGAACCATGAGATCACCGTTCCATTCGTGGTTGCAGGATCCATCCTGAGTGTGGGGCCCGCAGGAGGAGGCAGATCAGTGATTCTCTCTCGTCCTCCCTTCCTCTCTGAAATCAATAACAATATATTTGAAAAAAAAGGTCAAATGTCTTAGATTTTTCCAGATATTTTATCAGAAGATTATAGGCTGAAAGTTTATAAATAGCAGGAATTTATTGCTCCAACACCTGGAGGCTGGAAGTCTCTCTCTCCCTCTCTCTCTTCCATTCTCTCTAAATACAATGAAAAATATATCTTTGGGTACAGATTAATGAAACAAACAAACAAACAAAGAATAAAGAAAAGAGAAGAGAGAGACATTACAAACTCATACAAGACAACATAAGAAATCAAAATAACACAATAAGAGAATGGCCTAAACCTTGACTAGACAGTTCTCCAAAGATGATGTACAAATGGCCAACAAAGTCATTAAAAGAGACTCGACATCAGTAATCCTAAAGAACCATAAAAAAACTCCCTAGCTCAGTAGGAGTTTTGCTCGGTGCATCAGGGCATTAATATTCAAAACCCCAAATCTGATTCCTACACGGACAAGGAAGGTATAGGGAAGGCGCATAGTAGGCCTGCAGTACAGAAAGTGATGGGGGAAGTGTAGTGATAAGCAGCTCCGAAGGTCACACACCCAAAACTAGCATTAGAAATTTTATGTCATGTGTCTCCCTTCCACAAAAGTTTCGTCATTAGTTTATTTGTAAATCTCTCTCTCTCTCTCTCTCTCTCTCTCTCTCTCTCTCTCTCTCTCTCTCTCTCTCACACACACACACACACACACACACACAGAGTTGTCTCTCTGGGATGAATTCTGTGGCCCTTCTTGAATGTGAAAATGGTTGCTTCCTTCCCCCAGTTCTTTCGTGTGGGTTGCTTTAGGATGGGCCTTGTGCTCTGAGGTGAGACAGCCTGGCCCCTTCTCTGTCTCTGAGGCCCATCTTGCCTGGCACAGGATATGGGGAAATTTCCTCTTCTGCATTTCTGTGTATACCTTGTGGCTTAGAGAGAGAGAGAGAGAGAGAGAGAGAGAGAGAGAGAGAGAGAGAGAGAAAGGGAGAGAGAAACCTAAATAGGTTGCCTACCATACTTGCCCTGAGCTGGTATGGAAACCTAGGGATGTGTCCTGACCTGGAATTGAACTTGCCACCAATTTGCTGTAGGGACGATGCTTCCACCAACTGAGCCATCCGGCCAGGGCTATCTATTTACACCTGTAATGTCCTCCCAAAAAGGTGTATCATTTCCTCCCCTGAGGAAGTGCATAGTATATATTTGTGATGTGCATCTCTGAATATTCCAGGAACATCGTCAGTTTTGATGTGTCCATGACATCTTTTATACCATCCTGTGTTTCGTTGGTCACTGTGCTATACGGATGCATTTGAGTTCTGCAATTTGATTTTGTCTCTAGAAACCTTGCTGACTCTCTTCTCAAGCCCCTACATGTGCATCTGTATGTATGTGTGGATTTTCCTATGAAGACACAATTCTTGATGGAGAAAGTCAGCTTCATTTTCTTTTGAATTTCCATAGCTTTTACTTATTGTTCGTGGCTTGCTAGACTCCAACCTGGTGCTGCTGCGTTAGGTGTGGTGCTTGCTGAGCTAACCCCCTATCCCGCCAGGGAGCCTCCTGCATCCCTGCTGACTGTGATGTTATCCTGAAGGCCTTTGACATCCCCCCGCGCTCACTGGTGCCTCTCTTGAGATTCCATCAGTCAAGGGCCAGCGAGGCACACAGAAGCCTCACTATGTGCTCCAGCAGCGGGAATGTACTGTCAGGGTTTGTGATGCCCGGGTTGGGACACAGATGGAGCAGAAAGGGAACACTTCCCCTCAGCCTGGGTGGGGCTCTGAAAAGGGACCCATCAGTAAAGGGCCAGGAAGGTGGATTTTCATGAGCTTTCAGGCGGCAGCGTTGCTGGTGTGCTGGGGCCTCGCCAAATGGGGCATCCGTTTCTGATTGGCCCTGTGCACCCTCCTTGTTCCTTAGACACTCAGACCCTTGAGCCAGCACAGGGGCGTCCCACGTCCCCAAGAAGCCCTCAGAGCAAAGGCCTTTACCACTCAGCATTGCCCCTGGGTTCCACCCTCCATTGGACTTGGGTCTAAATTCCTCTCTCTTTTGCTCTCACTTGGTCTAAAAAAATATTAAAATTTTCCTTTTCCAGAATGTTCAACAGTTCCAGCTGGAGGGCGGGTCCCCCCCCCGCCCCGAGTCCCCAGGACCAGCTCTGAGTGTGCTGGCCCCTGGGTGTCCTCCCTCTCCACTTACACATCCTCTGCAAGCTGGTTACTTTCAGATTCACATCTGGTCAAGCCACTCAACCTCCCAGTGCCTCAGTACATTTACTTGCAGGGCTGGGGGGTATAAAGGGGTGTAGGGGTTGGGGGAGGGGAGACAGAAAGATTTCTCAGCCACCACACCCCCCTAACTCCAGTGGAGGCCAAGTTCCGCTTCCAGCTTGGCCACAGTCTCACCCCTTAGGGCTTCCTGGTGGGGTGTCTTAGGCCCCACCCCAGAGCTGGGCACTTCCCTCCCTGACACAGGGACCTGGAATCGCTCTGCTCTGGGCTGCCAGAGGGAGACATGGTGCTCCTGTTGCTGCTGCCCCTGCTGTGGGGGGGTGAGTGGCTGAGGGAGGGGGGCAGGGCAGGTGGGGGAGGGGTGGGAGTTGCATCTGAGCTTCTGTGTCCCCCTCCCCCAGGGTCCCTGCAGCAGCATCCAGGCTATGTGCTCCGAGTGCAGGAATCGGTGATGGTGCAGGAGGGTCTGTGTATCCACGTGCCCTGCTTCTTCTCCTACCCGTGGAATTCGTGGTATTCCTCTAGTGAACTCTACACCTATTGGTACCGGTACGGGGACAAAACAAACCGTGATGATCCTGTGGCCTCGAGCAACCCAGATAAAGAAGTGAAGACAGAGACCCAAGGCCGCTTCCTCCTCGCAGACCCCACGACCAACAACTGTTCCCTGGACATCAGAGACGCCAAGAGGAGTGACTCAGGACGTTACTTCTTCCGAGTGGAGAGAGGAAATTCTGTGAGATTTAATTACCAAAAGAAGATGCTGGATTTGCACGTGACAGGTACGGCGGGGGCCCCGGAGAGGATCAGGGACATGAGACCCTGTCTTAGAGCAGGAACAGGACACTGGACACTTCCTGTCCAGGCCGTGGGCCCTGGGTGGTGAGAAGAGACACAGGGCCCAGGTGAGCTCGGGCCTCAAGGCAGGGCCTCTCTCAGGGTCCCACTCTGAGTCCCCATCCCTGGAGCCCAGGCACCTGCCTTTCTCCCCTGCAGCCCTGACAGAGAGACCCCACATCCGGATAAGGGAGCCTCTGGAGTCCGGCCGCCCCACACAGCTGGCCTGCAGCCTGCCAGGGGCCTGCGAAGGGGGACGACCTCTCACTTTCTTCTGGGAGGGAGCCGCTGTGGACTTGCTGAACCCCCAGAACCTCAGCTCCTCGGTGCTCACCTTTACCCCGAGTCCCCAGGTCCATGATACCAACCTCACCTGTCATGTGAAACGGGAATGGCCTCAGTTGACCACACAGAGAACCATCCAGCTCAGTGTTTCCTGTGAGTGTTGGAGGGGTTGCTGGGTCCATGGGGGCAGGGGAGTGGCGTGCGTGTGTGTGTGTGTGTGTGTGTGTGTGTGTGTTTGTAGGAGGCTGAGCTAACCTGAGAACACTCAGGCATGGATCTGCGTGTAGGTGGGGAGGGGGCCAGAAGAACAGATCTCCCACCTTCCTGCTTCCCACCTCCCTTCCTTGGGATTGGGGTGACTTCCATCTGAAGTGGGACCCTATTTTTCTATCCCAGATGCCCCATGTGGGGGCGGAGCTGGAGGGGAGTTCATCTGCTGGGCTCCCAGCCCGTCTCTTTCAGCCTCTCTGTGCAGAGTGAGGTGCAGGACAGGTGTGGGGCGGCCGCCTGGTCAGGTGTTGGGATGTGGGTGGACTGAGTCCTGGACAACATGTCACCCGTCTCCTGTCATCCTCAGGCAGCCCGCACTCCAGCAGATGTGTGACCGAGGAGCAGCAGGGCTCCTGGCCCCTGGTCTTCACCCTGATCAGAGGGGCCCTCATGGGGGCTGGCTTCCTCCTCACCTACATCCTCACCTGGCTCTACTACACCAGGTGAGCAGGCCTTTCTCTCCCGGGGAAGGTCAGGGATTGGCCCTGAGGTCCAGGTGGGGCCGAGCTGTCCGGCTCTGCCTGGAGTTAGAGCCAAAGTGGCCGAGTCTCTGAGCTGACACCTGTGTGGGCCCCGCAGGTGTGGAGGTCCCTGGAGCAGGAGGCAGAGCTCCTGATGGACCCTCCTTCCTCTCAGGATGGGACTGAGGTGCAGACACCAGGCTACAGGGACCGTCCTGGGACGTCAACGTCACCTTCTCCCTGGAAGCTCTTGACTCACCTGCCTCCAATGTGCCCCTGGGGTCTCAGTGTGTGGAAGTGACTGAGTGACGCCAAGGGGAGTCAGTGCCATGGAGAGAAGACTTTCCCTCCTGTCACCTCCGGAGAGGAGGGGCCGCTGTGCCCGGGAAGCCCGGATTTCCTCAGGAAGCAGATGCAGGTGCAGGGCTGCCTTGCGAGGGCCTTGATTGGGTTCCCATGGGAAACGCAGGCAGGGCAGGGTGAGCCGTTCAGGACCAGCTGGTGTGTGTCAGTCGGGGGATGGGCCTGTGGGCGTGGTCTCTGTGTGTCTGGTCCCAGGTCCTGGGTGATTCGGGGCAGGTGGTGAGGCTTGGAATATGGGCTCAGGTTGAGTTGGTTTGCATCTGAAATTCTTGCTGTTTCTGAGAATGGGCCGCCCTGGGAGGCCCCTTGTCTCCTTAGCTTCCAATCTGTTTAATGGCTCAAAACATCCTAAGATACAGAAATAAACAATAATACACACCCACTGACGGCCCCTTGTTTCTGCCTGTGCTTCTCCCATTTGACTTGTTCCCTTTCCCCGCCTCTTTCTTTCTCTCTATCGGTTCTGCCCACTCATCCCCCCACCCCCTGCTCCCCTCTCTCCATTCTCAGGCCCAGAGAGGGACTGAAGTTGGCACCTTATCCTCCCCTTGTCCAGGAGTTACCTGGTCACCACCTGAGCTTCTGCTCTCCCATCTGTAGGTGCTGATATGCAGTAGAGTTAGGAGCCGGTCTCTTCTCCCTGTGCATAGACGCCAACCTCAGAATTACTGTCATAACACATCCCAGCATCTACACTAATAAAAGAGAAACATGGTAATTGGCGTACGACTGCTACCCTTTTCATTGGCTAATCAGCGAGATATGCAAATTAACTGTCAGCCAAGATGGCGGCCGGCAGCCAGGCAGCTTGAAACTAACATGAGGCTTGCTTGCCTCAGTGACGGAGGATCGTTGGAGGAAACCAACGTTCCCCACCTGTGGCTGCAGGCCTCTGAGCAGGCAGTTTAAGAAACATTGTAACAAATACCGCCGGACTTCAACCAGCAGATTTGCAACATTGTAAGCAAAGGCCAGAAACCTACTTTCAGCCACGGAGGCCTAAGAGCTGGAGCCAAGCCTCAAGATAAAGCTGGCCCAGAATAAAAAAAAGAAAAAGAAAAAAAGGAGCGGTTGGGAACTTCAGTCACTCCCAGCCTGAAAACAGCCCTCAGCCCCTCACCCAGACTGGCCAGGCACCCCAGTGGGGACACCCACCCTGATCCAGGACACCCTTCAGGGCAAACCAGCCGGCCCCATCCATGCTCCAGGCCTCTACCCTATTTAGTAAAAGGGTAATATGCCTCCTGGCACCGGGATCAGCGTGACAGGGGGCAGCGCCCAAACCCCCTGATCGCCCTGCGGCTCTGTGTGTGACAGGGGGCAGGGCCCCAACCCCCTGAGCAGCCCTGCTCTGTGCCTGATAGGGGGGAGCTCCCCAACCCCCCCCCCCCGCCACGGGCCCTGCTCTGTGTGTGATGGGGTAGAGCCATAACCTCCCCATCGGCCCTGCCCTGAGTTTGAGAGTGGTGGCACCCCAACCCCCTGATCGGCCCTGCTCTGTGGGTGATAGAGGGTGGTGCCCCAACCCCCTGATGGGCCCTGCTCTGTGTGTGACGGGGGCAGCACCCCAACCCCCTGATTGGCCCTGCTCTGTGCGTGACAGGGGGTGGTGCCGCAACCTCCCCATCGAACCTGCCTTGAGTGTGACAGGGGGCGGTGCCCCAACCCCCCATTTGGCCCTACCCTGAGTGTGACTGAGGGTGGCATCACAACCTCCCAATCTGCCCTGCTCTGTGCATGACGGGGCGGTGCCCCAACTCCCCAATCGGCCCTACTCTGAGCCCGAGCAGGGGCTGCACCTACGGATTGGGCCTGCCCTCTGCCACCCGGGAGCAGGCCTAAGCCAGCAGGTCGTTATCTCTCGAGGGGTCCCAGATTGCGAGAGGGCACAGGCTGGGCTGAGGGAGCCCCCTCCCCCCCCGAGTGCACAAATTTTTGTGCACCGGGCCTCTAGTTTAATCATAAATGAGAACGTTTCTGTGATATCACATGACCATTGATTTTACTCTGTAGTGTCTGTGGGAGTTTCTTGAGTCGAAGAACATCTGGATCTCCTCTTTGTTGTTGCTGTTGTTGAACCTGTTTCATGTAAGGGATTTTGTTTATACCTTTTAATTATTCTTCAGTTTGGTATTTATATCTTCTATTTTTTCCAAATATTTTTATTGATTTCTTAGAGGAAAGGAGAGAGAAAGAGAGACACAGATAAATGTCAATGATGGGAGAGAATCATTGATTGGCTGCCTCCTGCACGTCCCCTCCTGGGGATGAAGCCTGACCTGGAATTGTACTGTGACCTCTTGGTTCATAGGTCAATGCTCTACTCCTGAGCCACACTGGCCAGGCTAAATCTATTCATGAATAATAAAAAATTCAACATTTAAGACACATCCACACTCACCATTTTATATTATTATGCTCATATATCATATATCTATCAATTTGATAAACTTTAGAGAACATCAATAATTACTTGGATGTAAACAATTGTTTTCCCTCCAGATTTACTGAGATGTTTTGACATAGAATGCATGCAAGTTTACGGTATGCATTGTGCATATTTGATGCACCTATATAGTGAAGTGATTACCACAATAAGGTTCATCAACACTTCCATTCTCTCATATATTTATAATTGTTATGTTTATAACACTAATGATGTATAACCATAACAAACTTTCAGGTATTTAATACAATCCTGTTAATTGTAATCATCATGCTGTCCAGTACATCCCCAGGAATTATTCATCTTGTAGCTGAAAGTTACCCTTGACCAACATCTCCCCATTTCCACACCCCCAGCCCCTGCATCACCGTTCTACTCTATTTCTGTGAGTTCAGCATCTTTAGAACCCACTGTGAGAACACACTGCAGGAAAACAATGACTATTTTGAAAAATGCCCTCACATTTGTTTCTCCCATGCAGTTCTAGCTTTCCATCACAGAATCACTTTCCTCTATGCAAAAATGAACTAAAAATGTATTAAAGTCCTAAATATAATACCCACAACTCTAGAACTCTTAGAGAAAAACATAGGGGGAAATGCCAGGACATTGGATTTTGCAATGATTCCCTGGATATTTACATCAAAAGCACAGACAAGGGAAGCAAACATAGACAAGTGGGACTGTACCAACTTCAAAACCTGAGCACAAAAGGACACTCTCACCAGACTCCAGAGGCCACCTACAGGATGGGAGAGAAGCTGTATCTGTTAAGGAGGTAATATCCAGCATGTATTACAAACTCACACAAGACAACATAAGAAACCGAAATAACACAATTGAAGAAATGGCTAAAACCTTGACTAGACATTTCTCCAAAGAAGATGTACAAATGGCCAAGAAAGTCATTAAAAGAGATGCAACATCAGTAAAATGAAAGAACTACAAATGAAAGCCCTGGCTGGGTGGGTCAGTTGGTTAGTAGTGTCTTCCTGATATACCCCATTTGCCGGTTCCATCCTTGTCAGAGCACATACAACAATCAACTTGGGAATCCATAAATCAAAACCTGTAATGAGAGATCACCTCACACCCTGTAGGATGGCCACTAAGAAATGAAACCACAGAAAATAACAAGTGCTGGTGAGCATGTCCCAAAATGAGAACCATTCTACACATTTGGTGGGATTGTAAGAGGGTGCGCCGGCTGTGGAAAACAATATGGCAGTTTTCTCCAAAAATTAAAAATAGAATTACCATATCATGTACCATCCCCTCTTGAGGTTATATGTCCAAAAGAACTGAAAGCAGGACCTCAAAAAGATATCTCCACTTCCATATTTATAGTAGCATTATTCACATTAGTCAAAAGGTGTCACCCAGCAACCCAAATGTCCATTGATGGATAAATGCATTAAAAAAGGTCATGGGCCAGCTGGCCTGGCTCAGTGGTTGAGTGTTGATCTATGAGCCATGAAATCATGGTTCCTTTCCTGGTTGCAGGATCCATCCTGAGTAGGGGCCCGCAGGAGGAGGCCGATCAGTGATTCTCTCTCATCATTGATGTTTCCATTTCCCTCTCCAACTCCCTTCCTCTCTGAAATCAATAAAAATACATTTGAAATAGAAGGTCAAATGTCTTAGACTTTTCCAGATATTTTATCAAAAGGTTATAGACTGAAGGTTTATAAATAGCAAGAATTTATTGCTCCTAAGACCTGGAGGCTGGAAGTCTCTCTATCCCTCCATCTCCCTCCCTCTCTTCCATTCTCTCTAAATTCAATGAAAAAAATATCTTTGGGTGAGGATTAATGAAACAAACAAACACACAAACAAAGAGTAAAGAAAAGAGAAGAGCCCGTGGCAAGCTGACATAAAATAAACCATCACAGGAATAGAAATGGCATGCTTGCTCTTTGACAATGGACTTGTGGGGTGGTTTTGCTTCTGGGAGTTTCTAACTGCAAAAATGACCTCTGAAGCATAGGACATTTCCTTGGGAATTAATTGCTGTACTAGGGTTAATGGCCCACAGCAATGAACTTTCTGAGACAGCCATTAATCTGCCTTGATTATTATTGCTTAATTACTAAGTAAAGTCTCCTCCTTGGTATAGAAGTTGAATATCTCAGTTCAACCTCTTCCAGTTTAAAATGTTCATTCTTTATTCTTCTGGGCATATAAGAAATTACTTCTGGGTATATAAGCCAAATTAAGATAATCATAAATATGGAAACTAATTTAATTTTTTAAATCAATATTTATTATTCATTTTTCTTTTCTTTTCTTTTTTTTTTCCCCTCCCTGATCGTGCACCAGTGGGGTCCCTCTGCCTGGCCTGCACCCTCTTGCAACCCGGGACCCCTCGGGGGATGTCGGAGAGCCAGTTTCGGCCCAATCCTGCAGGCCAGGCCAGGCCGAAGGTCCTCACTGGTGCACAAATTCATGCACTGGGCCTCTAGTTACTATATAATACTTAAAATATTGACTTGATTATGGAGAGGAAGATGTTAAATGAACACTAGTTCTAGAAAGTAGGTGATGCCTCCTTAATACTGCCTGCTACTTGCTTTTATTTAAAGAAGGGTGCACAGGTCCAAGTAAGCAATTCTGTAAGGGAGAAAACTTATTTGTACTATTCACCAATTAATTCTAAACTCCTAATCTTGGCCGAACAAATTACCTGTTTTTTAAGCACAATTTAACTCTATTTCTTCAAGTGTCATCTCTGCTGGTTTGTTCTTCAAATTATTTAAGTTCACCCCTCCAACTGATACAAAGAACTGGTTTCTACTCTTAATAATGTTGTTTCTTAAGATTCCCTGAATTTGGAGTGATAAAGGAAGTACTTTAGGATCCAGACCACAACTTATAAGTAATGTTACAAATAATTTGGTCATTTCTTCTGCTTAAGTATTTTAAAAAGAGAGATTTTC